AGAATATAAAGGAACAGTTATTTCTTGATACATCCAAAACTGCAAACTGGTGAACTTCAACAGACTGTGTCCATAATTACATTAAATCTGAATGACTTCCAGTGGTCAGATTAAAAGAACAGATTCAAGTATATGCCAACAGAACTAAAGAGAAGGAGGGACATTTGTCAAACTTTCTTAGAGGTAGACTTAAATCATCATTGATAGAAAGCCTGTGGAGAATATTAGATGTTTCATGGGAAGCTTCTTGAGATATTATTTGAATAAAGATTTAGAGGGAAGAGTAACCTGCAGCCAAGAAGGGAAAGGCATCAACTGAGAAGGGAAAGATTTGAAATCTGGTTATGGACATGTTTAATTTGAGGTATCTACTAAAGAGTCAAAGAATACAAGACTGAATTCAAGATATCCATAGATTAAATGTAGATAGAGAAGACAACAAAGTGCCATCTTGATGTGCATTGTGCAAAATGATTCTTCTTCCTCTCAATCCCAGCTTCCTCATATGCACAAAGCATACTTTGTTTTGCCATATCAAATTACTTACAGGTTTGGGAATACATCATTGATATTTTGATAATGTTATACTCTCTCCTTAGAATGCCTTTCTTGCCCTCCAACTGAATGCCCACCCAGGGAACATAAGTCATCATGCTCAGCCTTTCCCAAGATCACTTCCATTTTTAGTAGTTTTGTGATTTGTATGTATATGCTATGACTACTACTTTCTATTACATATACCTGTATTTCCTAGCAGGTATAAACTCCTTTACATCCCAGGAACTTAGCACATAGGTGTCCAAATACTTGTTGAAATATATTTATGCTTTTCATAAGTATGCTTTCATTGGGCAACTATTATGATCATAAGAACACCAGAAAATTTTATATTAACAGATAAAGTTCTTAGGCGCTCCATTCTAATAGAGACTGAAAAAAATTTTTTTAAAGATTTATTTATTTATTTATACAAGCACTGGGTACAGTCAGAAGTGCGAGAGGGTGAGAGAATTCACCAGAGCTAGAGCAGGGAACAGAAGAGGCAGACCGACGAAATACACTGCTGAGGGGAGCAGGGGGCGGCAGAAGAGGTCTGCGCGACTTGTGGGACCCATGTCTGGTGGCCAGGGATCGAACTGGCGCTGCAAAGGCTGTGGGCAGCTTCGCAGCCCAGCGCTCAACCACTGCACCACCAGGGGAGGCCCAAGACTGAAATTTTTTGACTTAGAAGTTTTTTTACTAAAGGTTTTTGGTTGTTTACAATCAAGTGATATTTATTTCTTGACATTTCTTCTTAACTCTCTGTTTATGCCTTTAATATTACGTGTTCCCTGCTAAATTATATTTATAAACTGATGTATTACTCTGATATATTTAGAATATGCACATCTTAAAATAATTCAGAGCTTAGTGACAAGGATTACAGAAGTATTCCGTTTGAATCAGCCAGATCATATTTATGAAAGTTAAATTGTATTTGAAGGTGAATTTTGCTGACAAAATTACATTTAATTGACACTCTGAAATTCAGTTTCTAGCATTTTCTCACAGTCTTAATGTCAACTTTCATTAATTTCTTTCTTAAGCTGCTACCAAACATTATTCATAACATCTCATAAACCCATTTAAAAATGTTTATGTTTATATGTACATAGAAAAATATTGGGAAATTGTATACATTGTATTTCAATTAAGGGGGGAGAAATAAAACTACCTGTTCTCTCCTGTTTAATATTGCCTCCTGATCTATCCATCCAAATAAAAACTTTCTTAGTTGTATCTTTTATTAGATTCACTACTCTAAGAGAGTAAGACTTAAGTGTAATTGAAAAAAAAAAAAAGAAAATTTGTAAAGTGATGAATGTGTTAACTAAATGGGAAGAATCCTTTAAAAAAAAAAATAGACTGTGCAGATAAGATGTTGATCTCTGTGTTTCCCAGAATGACAGTATCTGCCTATTTAAAACAAAAACCCAGGCGATGTGGATAGATGGTTAGTAAGTGAACCTCATAGATTTTAATCAGAAAAAATTTGGGGGTGAATTGTCATTTACTTCATCGTTTAAAGAGAGAAAAACCAGGGTAGTGTGCTTTAATGAAGAGGGGAGTAATACCATAAATGAAATGTAACCCAATTAAAGAAGACATGACTCATGGAGAGAATACATTATTATTGCCAAATACCTAGGAGGTCATATTTACTTGTCACTAGGAATTGAAAGACTATAACAAAGAAATCTCTGTATTTTTACTTAAATGCTTACACCATGAAATTTTGTGACTGCTAAGAAATTGCTCAGCTTTAAAGACATACTACATAAGCAAGGGTTTGGTCACAAAAGATAAAAAAAAACAGTAATATAAAAATGAAATAATTGAGGCAGTAAGGCTGCAGTTCTAAATGAACATAATGGTATCTAATCAGGTTTGTGTTGGTGTATTTTAAGAACCGTCCTGCCTGGGCTTCCCTGGTGGCACAGCGGGTTGAGCACAGTGCTATGTAGCTGTCCATCAGCCTCTGCAATGCTGGTTCAATTCCCTGCTGGCTACGGAGATCCCGCATGGCACAACAGACCTTTCTTGTCTCCCCCGCTGCTCCCCTCAGCAGTGTTTATGGTCAGTCTGCCTGTTCTGTTCCCGGCTTTGTCTCTGGTGAATCCTCTCACCCTCTCGCGCATCTGGCCTGTACCCCGGTTCTTGTATAAATAAATAAATCTTTAAAAAAAAAATGATTCATCATGCCTGGGGCCTTCCTGGTGACGCAGAGGTTTAAGTCTCAGCACTGCGAAGCTATCAGCAGCCACTGAGGCATGAGTTCAGTCCTGGCCAGGGAGCTAGCAGACCCTCTCCTTTCTTGCCCACTGCTCCCCTCAGCAGTGTATTTCAGTCAATCCTCCTATTCTGCTCCCCACTCTATCTCTGGTGAGTCCTCTCACACTCCTGCACCTCTTGGCCTACACCCAGCTCTTATATGCATAAATAAATCATTAAAAAAAAAGATTCATACCTTCTACTTTTTGATTATCTAAATTTTAATCTTTCAGAGAATGTTTTAAAAATTACGACTTTGATCACGCATTCTTTATATGCTTTCAAATCTTTTCTGTATGGGCTAACACATATAATTAACATGTTATATATTGATTTATGTTATGATATTTTATATATATTAATATCATTAATATGTGCCTCCCCCTCCCCCCAAAAAAGCACTTTTTTTGTGCCAGTAATACACATGTATGGTGCTCTTTTAAAAAGCAGTTCCTGTTGTTGGACACTCCAATTTTTTTTCTTCTGCCATTATAAAAATGTCATGGTTAACATTGTTTAGTCATTTCTCCGACAGTTTTCACAACCTATGTGCATGTAATGCAAATGATAATAGGGTGTATTTTTTTTTAATAGAGGCATGTTTTATTTATTTATTTGTTTGTTTTGTTTTGTTTATACATGCACTGGGTACAGTCAGAAGTGCGGGAGGGTGAGAGAATTCACCAGAGCCAGAGCGGGGAGCAGAGCAGGCAGAAGGACCGAAGTACACTGCTGAGGGGAGCAGCGGGCGGCAGGAGAGGTCTGCGCGCCATGTGGGACCCTCCTCCGGTGGCCGGGGACAAGCCGGGGATCGAACCGGCACCGCACAGGCCGCGGGCAGCTTCGCAACCCAACGCTCAACCGCTGCGCCACCGGGGAGGCCCAATAGGGTGTATTTTCATTCCCCTGCTATTGACTAATGCTATTGTGACCTGGACTGAGCATTGTCTGAATAGGACTTAAATCATTTTCTAGCTGCGAAAAGTTTATCTTAGATGCGATCCAAGTTTATCTTTCAACATTTGATTAATCTGTAGCTGTGGTAGTAAAATTTACTTGGGGTATGAAAAATTTCTCTTCTTGACATCTGTAGGCAAAGTGACTTAGATGCTGAGTATGAAATGTTTTTAGCTGTGATCTCTTTCCCATGGAACCACTTGTTTAACCACTCGTTAAAATTATACTTGATTTTTTGCAAATGCTAACGTTGGCATTTAGTTTTATTTAAAGATTTATTTATTTATGCATACAAGAACTGGGGTACAGGGGGGTGAGAGGGTTCACCAGAGACAGAGTGGGGAGCAGAACAGGTGGATTGACTGAAATACACTGCTGAGGGGAGCAGTGGGCGAGACAGGAGAGGTCTGCGCCATGTGGGTCACCTCCTTGGTGATGATCAAACTCCTGCTCCAGTAGCTGCGTATTGCTTCACAGTGCTGATGCTTAACCCCTTGTGCCACCAGAAAGGCCCTGGCATTTAGTTTTAAAAGTCAGATTTTTTTTTTTCCAAAATGTATATGCCCTTCCATTTTCAGAGATTCTGCTTCTAAAGGTAAAAGATAGTGTAGGATCCAGGAATGTATGGATTTTGATTACCTCTTGGTATGACTGATGTGGGAGATTTCTGGCTCAGTTAATAGAATGTGCATAATTTTTGCAATTTGTATAATTAGAATAAATTCCTAAAGTAGGATTACTTGGACAATGAGTTGTAGTCTTCTCATTATATAGTGCTTAGACTGTCTCCCAGAGATTTTTGTACCTAACTTTACTTTCTCACCAGCAGTGTATATCAGAATCCCATTAGCCACCCCTTTTCCAATATTAGATATCATCAGTCTTTTGATTAATGTTAGATACCTTTATATTTTTCTGAATTGTAAGATGCAAGGGAAATTTGTCATCTATACAGATATTAATTACTCTGGCCTTCTTAGTAATTATTTTCTAGATTTGTCGCTATATATATATATATAATTATGTGTATAATTGTGTGAAAGCTGTAAGTTGAATTTGAATCACATTACTGGCAAAATATGCTTGTAAATGTAATATTCAGAAAAGAATAGTCACTATGAAAGGGCTGGGTTTATCAATCATGTAAAAAGACTTGGTACTCTTTTTCATATATTCTTCTTAACAAATAAAAGCTAATTATATTTTATTGAGTACATTTTGGTTTGTTCCAGTAGCCGGATCGAGCTGGGAGACGTGACACCACACAATATTAAACAGTTGAAGAGATTAAACCAGGTTATCTTTCCGGTCAGCTACAATGACAAGTTCTACAAGGATGTGCTGGAGGTTGGCGAGCTAGCAAAACTTGGTATAATATTTTTTTCTCCCTCCTCTAAGTTGTTAATTCATGTTCTTGACCCCTAGTTTTTAATACAGCCTCCTTATTTAAAAGTGAGGAAATAGCAGGGGAGGGGGTTGTCACATTCAAAGAAATCAAGATATTAAAATATTTCACTTTTTAAAAGATGTTAAATATATTTTCTTCCTATATAACATATGCCTGTATTTTCATATATTTACTTGAGACTTGAATTTCCTAGGAAGGTATAAAATTTTGAGATTATTGATAGAGAGTAACTATTAAAATATAATGTCAATAACAGCAGTTTAGTACTTAATGAAAGGGAGGAAAAGATTGATAATGATAATATAAAATTTAATTCTGTCTGTTGAACTTTTTGTCTTTATATTTTCCACGGTAGCCTATTTCAATGATATTGCAGTAGGTGCTGTGTGCTGTAGGGTGGATCATTCACAGAATCAGAAGAGACTTTACATCATGACACTAGGATGTCTGGCACCATACCGAAGACTAGGAATAGGTGAGATGATTTGGGATATTTCACTTCTTCAAAAAGCATAGAAAAATTTTACTATTTCTGAGTAAGTCAGATTTCTTTTAGGACTACTGGGAAAGGGTCACTGAATTATATGAGATAGCCAAAAAATAACTGGTACTTACTAACATAATTCAATTGGAAACTATAGATTTATTAAGGTTCCTTTCTCTTTTTTTATTTTCCTTTTATCTGTAAAGGGATTGAGTATAAAGGTTGCTTTTCTGCTAACATTTAAATATACATATAGGCAGAACAGAAAGAAAAAAATTGTGAAAAATCAGAATGTCTATTGATTACTTCATGAATATTATTAAGGACTCAATAGTGTTAAGATTGCAGTAAGATATGTAAAGATTGGTTTTTATAAGATTGTTTGTCTTATTTGACAGGAACTAAAATGTTAAATCATGTCTTAAACATCTGTGAAAAAGATGGCACTTTTGACAACATTTATCTGTAAGTAAAATGCTATTTACAAGTGTTCCTATCTAAAGAGTTTAACAAATTGGCAGTAAAAATCTTTACTAGAAACTTTAAAGTCTGGTCACTTCATTATTTAGAAATACCACGTTAGTAGTAGTTTACAAAGTTTTGTTTTCATTACACATAGATAATCTGATAAAACATATCATTTTTCTTTATTACATTGGGATGGGTGCTACAAAGTCACAGTGATGTACTCAGTATCAAAAACTCAAGTCTTCAAAATTTAAGAGTTAATACCATTAACATTTCTTATGCTGTGCTGTTTGCACACTTCAGTGCTCTGGATGACATGCTTATTTGTGATAGTTTAATGATCAAAATTATAGAGTACATAGTTGACTTTATGCTTGAATCTTAAGAGACCTAAGATTAAAGGCCAAGGTTAAGATCACAACTATGGATTGTTTATGGATATTAAGATTATTCTTATTTTCCGTTGGCAGTGAGAAAAATTAAATTACATAATGCTGTTTTGAGTAGTAACTGAGAATGCTCTAATTACTTTCAAAATATAGCATGTTTTATTAATCAGGAGGAGGATGTATTTAGGGATTTGATACCTGATTTTTAACTATTTTATTGACTTCTGTGTGTATTAACATAATCTTTGAATCATCCCTCAGGTTAGTTGACTCATTTTAAATTTCAGGAATTTTGTCTCCCTTTGCAATCAAAAATGTTGTGCTAGCTAGGGTATTTTACTCTTTGTTAATTATAAGAGTAAACACTATTCCTGTGTCTCCTATCTAAGCCATCTGCCTTGCAAATGTAATACTTGATGTGAAAAGTATAAATTTGGGGCCTCCCTGGTGGCTCAGTGGTTAAAGTTTCAGTGCTATCAAGCTATCACCAGCCACTGTGGCCCTGGTGTATTTCAGTAGATCTGTCTGTTCTGCTTCCCAGAACAGAGGTGAATCCTCTCGCCCCCTGTGCCTCTGGCCTATACCCCAGTTTTGTATGTATAAATAAATAATAATCTGTTTTTTAAAAAGTATACATTTGTCAGCAGAGGAATTAGCTGTATTTGTTGTTTTGTGTCTAATCGATGTAGGTATTTACTAGTCATTGTAAAGAGAATGTAACAAATACCTGCAGTATTCCAGTTCCAATCACTTTGCAGAACATGTAAAATCTTATGAAATGTTTTGTTTTTTGATACCCTCTTATATATCTTAGGCATGTCCAGATCAGCAATGAGTCGGCAATTGACTTCTACAGGAAGTTTGGCTTTGAGATTATTGAGACAAAGAAGAACTACTATAAGAGGATAGAACCCGCAGATGCTCACGTGCTGCAGAAAAATCTCAAAGTCCCTTCTGGCCAGAACGCAGATGTGCAAAAAACAGACAACTGAACAAATTATAAATGAACTTTCTTGCACTTGCTTGTCGCCAAATAAAAGAGAGGCCCATTGATTTTCCCCCGTCTTTTAAAGCTTTCCCCCTTCCTGTTTTGTTTTTCCTATTTTGTTTCCTTCTCTTCTAAAAATTTCAGTACTTTCAAGAACTTTTAAAATTAATCATGTTTGAATTGTTTTAGTTCTCTTTTGTGTGAGGTGGTTTGATAGTAGGAAGGAGAAGGTACAGATTTGTTTGGTTTCACACTTAAGATACACAGTCCCCAAAATATGGGTATCAATTTCAAATTTTTGTGGCTTTTATTTTTTTTTACATTCTGCTTTCACATTGAAGGGCAGAGCCTACAAAATATTGTATATTTCAGAAAAACAAAGAAGCAGCAGCAATATCTTGTTCTCTAACTCATAGACAAGTTTAGTGTGTTTGTGGTACTTTGGGTTTTTAAAGACTGTTTGTGGGATAATCCCTAGACATTGCCTTCACCCCACCTATTGTCCTTCTGAGTACTATCTCAGGAAGTGAACCATTGTTATCCTTGTAAGAAATACTATGCTTTTTTGATTTTTTTAAGCAGTTATTTCTTCTCTTCCTTGTTGGCGGTTGAGGGTGGGTGGGATAAGTATGGATAGGTAGTGTTATTCTCTGGTCTCAGTATTTGAGTTAAATTGCTTTTGCTAATGAAGTGGGCTGGTTGTTAGCAGGTTTATTTTTCCTGCTGTAAATTGTTATTAGTGGCATTAAATTTTAGGGGGTGGGCTGGTGAGATTAATTTTTTTTAATATCCCAGCTAGAGAAATGGCCTTTAACTGACCTACAGAGGTTTGTTGTGATTTTACTTCATATTTCTCCTATTCTTATTCTTCAGTAAACCCACAATAGTTAGTTTAACCTTAAAAATGGAGTTGGTGTCCTTATAGGTCAATACCCCTAAATAGACCTGAAGCAGATGTTGTCTCTTGAACATATTAAAAAATAACCTGAAAGGAAGTTAAATGGACTTGTGGCACAATAAATGCATTTAATGTCAGCAAATGCGACTGTTAAAGATGTGGCCACTGAGCATTTGATTATATAGGAAAGAATGTCTAGACATTATTTTTGAGAATAGCACAGCTGTGGCATTGCTTATCTGTTGGAGAACATCCCAGATTTGCTTACATTCTGTGCCTATGATATTGAGTTTAAGGATTTGGGGGAGGGGGAATTATTGAACATACTGCTTCTTGGAAAAGTAGAAGTCTAGAAGTGTTGATAACATAAATGTCACTGTGATCTCCTCTACTAACAGGACTGGTTTATGCCAGATCATTTTCTGGTATACAAGGAATGGCTTTGACAGGTTGATAACATTTGAAATTTTTGTGTTTTCCTCCATAGTCCCACCTGCAATATTTAAAATATTTTAGATTGCCAGTACTGGTGGCCTAAGAAACATTCTCTTTAGACATTAAAACAATGCTGCACAAGGCTTTTCTGTCACTTGACTTTTAAAGGGAGATTGATCCATAGTATTTATTCTCAACTAAAATTCTGGCTTAAAAAACTCATCTCTCCAAATATTTTAAAGGACAAAATTATTATTTTACACAACACTTACCCACGTTTTATTTAATCTTCTTATTTGAGAATGTGAAAGTACAATAGACTTCATCAGTCTTAATTGAGTGCCAAGAATAATACAGAAAAGATAGTTGATAAATGAGTTTATAGGGTTCTAATCTTTAAGATAGTACAAATAGAGAAAGGCCATGCTAGTTTCTTGGGTATCAGTTGCTTAAGCAGTCCAAATCTAAGCTTGGAAGAAAAGTTTAGCATTAAGCACCTTCACCTTCATGGATTAGCTTCAGCATGCTCTTGCCAAGAGAACAGTGCATGAGTTACAGAAGGCATAATTAGTTTGGAGAATTCAGCCTTTTTGTAAACTTCCAGATATCAAGATTTTGATATATAAATGAGTTTTCTGAGATGACACTGCCTCTTTCTATAACCATTTCACCTGGACTATCAGTCCAATGAATGTATCCCTAAATGTGGTTATTGAAAACCAAATAGCTGCCTCATGACAATTTAGTACATGTTATTTAAGGAGGGAAAAATATAAATTTTGAATTGATTGTGTAGGCTCCCTATCATTATAGTTTCTTTTTACACACTAGTCAGTGAATTAACCTAAACTGTAAATGTTTTTAAAGGGTTAATTGTCCTGCATCAAACTTATATTAAATAATTCCATCCATTTATGGAAGAGGAGGATATAGAAGAGGTAGAAGCTGGGCACTAGTTCATATGCCTGTGAGTGAATAAATATGGAAATGTCCCATGTTGAGTTGACTGTTTTGATATGTGATAGAAATAATCATTAAGGCAAGACAGTTTCATTAAGGTAAGACATTGGAAGGTCACAGGTTACATCCATCATATTTTTCAGAACATAGCTTTTACTATGGGGCAAATAGGTAAAAATTATACTCTATAGTAATTGCATTTAGGTTCTAAAGAAAATAATCTGCAGAGAAATCTATGCAATACATAGTTTGTCCAGATTAGTTTTCATTTGAGGAAAGAAATTCTGAAATCTTCCTAAAGCAGTTTGTTCACCAATTGAAAGTCCTCCAAAAACACAACTATTGGGAAATGATGGTGTGTCGGGTGGAAAAGAAAAGCTCCCTCAGTTTTTTGGAGGGAATAACTTTAAAAATACTTAAATGGCTAAGTTTACTTGGTGCAGTTAAGAATTAAAACTTGTTGATTTTAACATTGCTGTTACATCTGAAATAAACTTATGTAATGTTCTGGTAGTAATCTGTGATGTCTGGTAAATGTCGAAGAAAACCCCTGCATTGTGTTGAATTCTGAGATCAGCTCTATATAGTCATTACTTACTCTTGCCTATTCTGTTTTATTTACCTTCACCTATCTTTAAAATCTAAAATTTAAAACTAAATAGGCCTAAGCCACCTAATTCAGACCTGAAACTTGCTAGAAATACTGCCCCATATTACAATTCAGTCCCAATGAGGGGGGGAAAAGTGGATAGGAGCTGTCCTACCGCTGCTATAGTTTGGATATAATGGTTAACAACACCACCTAATGCTTCAGGCTGTGATCTAATTAGAAGTGTGCACTAACTACAGATAATGTACTTTCCAAATTTCTTTTTGTTAGTAGTTTGGAAGGAGTATCTGGGAATTGTTTTTCAGTTTTTTTCCTAAATAGCAAACAAACATGAATTTAAAATTTTGTCTGTAACAGAATTCAGCGCTTAATATCTTAGCCCAAATTACTGTAATTAAAATCTTGTTTATTCGAGAACCAGTGGATTCTCTTTGCTCAGTGTATCACTGATCACTGTTATCACTCTGTAACACATCATCCCCAAATTTAATTTAGCAGCTTAAAATAACATTACTGCCAATTACAATTTCTGAGTCAGGAGTCTAGGAGCAACTAGGCTTAGCTCTGGCTTGAGTCTCAGCAAATTGCAGTGGAACTGTTAGCCAGAGCTGCATCATTTTAAAAGCTTGACCAGTATGGAGGAACCACTTCTAAAATGACTCACTTAACGTTTATTGGAGGGACTCCTGTTATGTGGGTGTCACAGCTATCTGAATACTGGCATCTGATTTATCCCAGAGCAAGTGACCCAACAGTGATCAGAAGTCTTATTTTAAGACTCAGCTTTAGGAGTGACATGCCAATTATTTCTGCCATATTCTGGTGTTCGCACAGACTAACCATTGTACTAGTCTGTTACAATGTTTGAGAGAACTAAACAATGAATTAATACTGGGAGGTTAAAGTACCATTATCTGCTCTGAGATACAGTTTCCTGAATGAGGATTAGAAAGCACTGCACTTAGCTATTTCTCAGTAGTAAAAGAAAGGGAGTGGGCCTAGAAGTTCTCTTGCAGTTGGGTTTTTAGCTGGGTGGTGGTGTATATTAATCTGTCTCCTAGAGTGTTGCTGTCCGAGGTTGGTGATTTGAACAACCCTGGGGAGTTAGGTACTGCAGTGAGTAGGAGCGGTGAGCATATGAGAACTGTTCAGGGAATGAATCTTAAGGCCAAGGGTCCTGAATTGGACTAACCTTGCAAAGTTGTACCACAGGAACCTACTTCATGATGCTCAAGTAACAACCATGTGAGAAAAGGCGTGAGTGAACATTTTCAAATGTCGGTGTAGTTACCTTGATAAAATGCTGAGTAATAAGAAGTCAGAATAATTATGTTACTAGGGCAGTGTAAGGGGCAGGACAGGGCACAAGGCAGGTTTTCTGATCCCATGCAGATCGGGTAAAGGAGGAGTCAGAGTCCTCAGTAGTTTTGCAGGTTTTTTATTTGGGGTTCACCAGGCATATGGCAGGCAGGGGTGCTGGCTGGGGGGCTGGGAGGCTGGCAGGCCTCCCAGCCCCCAGCAAGTCCTCACTCTATCTGGGCTCTCTAGCGTTCGTTCTGCTGCTTCTCGGCTTCGGCTGCGGCTGCTGCTGCTGCTGGTGCTGGTGCTGCTGGCGTCCCCCCGTGACGCCGCCCTTAAAAGCACAGTCTTAGCTCAGCTGAATCCCATCTACCTATGCCCACACCCTATTCCAGGTGCCCGCCATCAGGCATGCATTCAGGACAAGGATCCATCATCTATCCTGATGGCGGAAGGGCAGAAAAGCCTGACATTTTCTTTACCCTACAGTCCACCCCCTCAGGGTTTTCTGCCATATAGTCTATACATATATATACAATTTTCTAAGCAAACAAACAATGCAGCCATGGCCCACAAAAGCAAATACATCAAATAACAAAATACAACATAACAAAATACAACAGAACACAAATAAGTCCAGGCAGGGCACCAACCAAGTGCAAAAGACAATTATTGGTACCAGCAGATGAGCCACCAAATCTGCTGCCGAAGGCACTGCTCATACGAGGGAGGGGAAATCACACACGGCATCTGCTATAACACACCAGGAGCCGTCAGGCTTCCTGGCCTTCTCTGGCTGTAGTCTCGGCTACAAGGCACACACAGCATCCACCCCCAGGATGCACTAGCTCTGGGATTGGCAATTTTATTCTGTTGGGGGTAATCGCCAACCCTCAGGGTTTCTGTCTGCAGTCGCTCCAACACTCGGCCTTCATGGCCACCCATGCGACTCACAGACCCCTGCTCTCAAGCCAACCCACTGCACAATCACATGGGTCGGGGATCCAAACTCTGCATTCGGCTTGGGCTCCACCCCAAGCCACATTCCCCACCCGTCCCCCAAGGACAGGTTCCTCAGCTCCTCACCCTCGCTCAAGAATGAGCAGGGCATCACCCACAGGTGATTTTACGAGACTCACAGTTCTTCAGCATACCCAGGCTGCTTAACAGCCGCTCAGGGCTTCTCAACTTATCATCAGTACCAGCTTTTGCTTTCTCAGTTGGCTTTTCTCCTCCACCTGGCCACTGGGCATACACAGGCTGCTTTTGGCCATCTAGGCCCACTGGCCACCCCCAGATTCTCAAAAAATAAACATAACCTGCTAAGGTCCTCCGCCTTCTGGCGGGATTGTCAGTCCAAAATCATCAGTTCATCAGTCTATCAGTCCATTGGCCTCTCCCTGCTTCAGCAATGGCCTGCTGCCTCAGGGGTCATTGGCTGGTCCTTTCCGGTGTCGTTGGCTGGTCCTATCCGGTGTCGTTGGCTGGTCCTTTCGGGCGTCTCCTTCACGCCAGGTCTCATCCTGTAGCTCGTGGACGTATCCATCTTCTATACCGCCATGGTGCCTCCAGCGTCGTCACAGGCAAAGTCTGTTCTCCTTAGTCCCTCCAGGTCTTCGGAGGGCTCCAATACCCGTCTGCATGGATCTTGCCGACATACGCCAATTGTAAGGGGCAGGACAGGGCACAAGGCAGGTTTTCTGATCCCATGCAGATCGGGTAAAGGAGGAGTCAGAGTCCTCAGTAGTTTTGCAGGTTTTTTATTTGGGGTTCACCAGGCATATGGCAGGCAGGGGTGCTGGCTGGGGGGCTGGGAGGCTGGCAGGCCTCCCAGCCCCCAGCAAGTCCTCACTCTATCTGGGCTCTCTAGCGTTCGTTCTGCTGCTTCTCGGCTTCGGCTGCGGCTGCTGCTGCTGCTGGTGCTGGTGCTGCTGGCGTCCCCCCGTGACGCCGCCCTTAAAAGCACAGTCTTAGCTCAGCTGAATCCCATCTACCTATGCCCACACCCTATTCCAGGTGCCCGCCATCAGGCATGCATTCAGGACAAGGATCCATCATCTATCCTGATGGCGGAAGGGCAGAAAAGCCTGACATTTTCTTTACCCTACAGGCAGGAATTCTCAAGCTTTCCAATTCTGAGTTTAGGACCAAAGTCCAGAAATTTGATGGAATCATAAAGTTAATATGAAGCAATCACTACATAAACAGCCCAGGATTTTAAATCTTATGGCCTGTTTTGTATTAATTTGTATTAAATCTTATGGCCTGTTTTGTATAAATTCAGTGTTTGGGAAGATAACCTTATTGGAGGGAATATTTTGCAGTTTGGGAACTTAGAGTCATTCCTAACATTGAGCTAACTTGCCACATACCTGAATTTCACCCATTTTACTCAAAAACAGCTTTAAAGGATTTCAGTAATATAAATCACATGTTAAAAAAAAAAGGCTGCAGCTTCAACTTATGTGACTTTTGGAGCTCATCTAGTTAGTTCATGTTTTCATTCTGGTAAATATTAAAAGCCTCCAAAGATTAAGACAATCTTGAATCCTATTTATTGCTAATCTATATATCTAAAGTAAAATGAAACTTTACCACATGTGTAACTCCTATGCAAGTGAAATTTGAACCTACAAATTGAAATCTAAATTAGTTTATATAACAGATCTGGTAAGGTAAGGGCTTTATTATGGCATCCTCCAGGCAGTTTCATGACTTTCTTAATCCTTACTTTCTTAGTCCTTAATAAAAATTGTAAATTGTTTGTACAAATTTGAGTATCTACTATAAGCTCTAGGGATGTGACAGTAAGTTAGATGAGATGGCCTCTTTAAAGGTAAGTAAAATTTACATTAATTTATGTAGAACTGATGTTTAAGTGAAAGGCCAGCCTCTACTAAAATAACCACAGCATCCAAGGATCTTAATTTAACTTTGAAAGGAACTTGGAAATATTTCCTATACCTACCTGCATTCTTAACATTGGTTTGAGTATATGCAAAAACCTAATTCCCATTAAAAAGCTGAGACACAGGGCCTCCCCGGTGGCGCAGTGGTTGAGCGCTGGGTTGTGAAGCTGGGTTCGATCCCTGGCTGCTCCCCGGCCACCTGAGGAGGGTCCCACATGGCGCGCAGACCTCTCCTGCCGCCCGCTGCTCCCCTCAGCAGTGTACTTTGGTCCTTCTGCCTGCTCTGCTCCCCACTCTGGCTCTGGTGAATTCTCTCACCCTCCCACGCTTCTGACTGTACCCAGTGTATGTATAAACAAAACAAACAAATAAATAAAACATGCCTCTATTAAAAAAGAAAAAAAAAAAGCTGAGACACAAAGTATGAAATGGTGTGAAACCAATTAAGAATTTACACAGTGGAAAACATCTAACATTTGTAGAAATTCTGCTTGTTCTGAGTTCAGTTTATTCTTTTCTAAACTGCCTTGAGGAAGCTACACTTAAGAAACAGCAGAGTAGGTCAACTCTTGTGGCATCTTAGCTAGAAATCATGCTGTCAACCAAATTAGGAAGCACCTTTATCATTTTGGTTTCTGATCTATAACAAGTTTTTATTTTTTATTTTAATAGTTTTTTCTTTTTTTTTAAGATTTATTTATTTATTTATACAAGCACTGGGTACAGTCAGAAGCGCGGGAGGGTGAGAGAACTCACCAGAGCCAGAGCAGGGAGCAGAGCAGGCAGAAGGACCGAAGTACACTGCTGAGGGGAGCAGCGGGCAGCAGGAGAGGTCTGCGCGCCATGTGGGACCCTCCTGCGGTGGCCGGGGAGCGGCCGGGGATCGAACCGGTGCTGCAGAGGCCGCGACCAACTTTGCAAGCCTGCACTTCAACCGCTGCACCACCGGGGAGGCCCTATAACAAGTTTTTAGACAACACTAGGAATGACCAGCTATTAGGGACTTGATTCAATTCATTCATTTTATATATAAGGAACACTACATGACCCTTGTTTGCACTTACTTGTGTAGATTTCTTGATAACCTTGGCTTACTTGGTTGTGGTTAAAACAGCATTAAGTCCTACAGTTGTAACTACCACAACTACCTCTGTATTTATGATCTCACCAAATTCTCTTTTACTTTCATAAGATTTTCTAATGTCTTCAAGTTGAAATTTCAGCTAATGTTAACTGGGATAATTTGGAGTGTGTTTCCTGGATGATTATCACTCTTCAGAGTTTAAGAAGATGTGTTCCTTGCAATTTACAGAGCTTAATATACTGCCTCACATGAAATTTGGTCTTGGAGTGTACCCACAGTGGATCAAACAGTGAAAAAGATGGGCATGGCCCTGCCCTGGTGATAACTGGTAGAAGGAAAAAAAAAATTTCAGTTGCCATGAGGCACTATATTGGAGTGGACAACATAATAAACCGTACAGAATTCTGGAGGAAATGCACTGATATTTTAGTTCTCTTCAAACAAAATAATTACCACTATTCTTTTCACACCTAAGAGTGAAAATGGGAGATAGTTATCATAAGAGTTCAAAACAGGAATATAAGATGTCTGAATACTTTAAGACCAAACGGACTGAGATTAATAAAATCTAGATACAAGTATCAGGCATTCTGTAGCACTCACCAGCTAGAAAATGTATAAAAACTAAGTTTATACAAGATGTAAATTCCTTTGGAATTTACTGAATTAACAGGAGAGGGGTGATATACAATATTCATGGATATAAAGAATAAAGTGTTCATAGAAATGTATGCAAAAGACAAACCTTGAAAGCTGATCATCCATATGAGATATCCAGGAGGGAAGGGGAAAGGGTGGAAAATGGGTGGGTGGGGAGAGGAAGAGCCCAAGAGGAACTATGGTGATGGACTATGGGTGCTCCTAACAGGGTACGCACCAGGAAAGACTCTCAAAGGATTTTAACAGATTTAACAAAATTGTAAATGTGTATTAAAGTGGAAAATTCTGCATTAAGACAGTCACTCCATAAGTTTATATCTAACATTTGAGATGTTTTTGATAATAAAATTGTACATAACAAAAAGAATAGATGGGATATAAATAATTCACAGAGGAGATGCAATGG